CCCCCCCCTCCCCCGGAGAAAACTCCACCAGCCGCCACTGCTGCAATTGGAGAACAGCAAAAAAAATTCTGAAAATGTGTTGGAGAAATATTGTAAAAATGTGCTGTAGTTCTAAAGAAAGAAACCTCAAATTGAAAATAATGTTTGCAGAGATTTGAATTCCAAAACATTTTAAAACATGCCTAGCAAGGTCTTCAAAACTCAGAATTCGCAAGACAGGAGATGTGGTTGACCTCTTGGTCAGCTATTTATCAGAGTGAGAGAAGCTTGGTGAGAGACACAAAGTGAACTGTCTTAGAAACACTTGATAGTGGTGAGTTGTTATCATGCGAAGGAGGTAAATCTGTGACAAAGTCAAGGCCAATATTTGATCATGGGCAACTAGGCACAGAGACACAAGTCACCAGGCGGATGGGAGGCCTTCCATGAGGCACAGACAGTGCAGGCTGAAACACAGGTGCAGCAGTTAAGAAGACAAAGTCGATCCTTCTCATGAATTCAAAGGAAAACCCTGTTTCCATCATTTCCTCCTTTAACCCAGATTATAATGATTTTCTAATCCTGTCCGTGGCCTAATTTTGCCTTCATAGCTTGAGGGAAACTCTGTTGACGATGTGTGATGTCAGGGTAATGTTAGTAAATGATTACCCACGTCATAACTACCAGGGGGTTTTCTGCTGGTGGGGTGACTAGTCCTTCACATGTGCACACACATGAATTATCTTTGCCTCTGTCTCGCTTTCTCTGTCAGAGCCCTACATGAACAGTGTGCTGACGCACCACATGTCACATGATATCAGTCCTCCACTGCTGCGGTTTTATTTGCTGTATGTGCAGCCTAGATAAACCAACGTTTGCTGGTATGAATCACACTGCTGTTTGCAATATGTCTTCTTGAGTTATTTGTATGCTGACCAGTGGCAGCAGAACATACATGGAAGCATGGAAGGGTGAACGCTTTCTGCTGTAATTGTGTGACATTTGTCAAGTCATTTTCCTATTGGTATCAAAATCAGATGTCTGGCATCATCACCTTCCATCTAAAGCAATCTTCCTTACACGGTTGCATTGTGTGCCTCCAGGGCCATGAAAATACCTCATCAAAGGTCTGGGAAGTCCATGCTAGTATTAACACCAGACTTAATGGTGTTGTAAAGATGGAATATGAAACATTAATGCAAGATAATGATTATATAAAGGAAATAATTCATATTACTGATATGATGTGAAAGATTAAGGGGAGCATGATTCTGTATACTTCTCTTCCTTTCGGTGGTAAAATATGTGCTTTAATTGCTTTAGTTTCTGAAAAATGAATAGATGATAATAAAAGTAAAAACTGTCCTTCGTGACAGCTCAAATTCACTCCTCATTTTCATATGTTATAAGCTTTATGTTGCCTGCAGCCTCATTTCTTGGAGAGTGGGGTAATGAAGCACATTGTTTTACTTCCACTTAATACTGGCCTATCATGTCATGTGAGTGAGTGAGTGAGAGCAGTGGTGGTCTTTTTTCTTCATAGTTTTTGGTTCCTCTTGCTGAGGGTTAGGTGCAGAAGATGTTGCTTCTTATCAAGCCTATTAAGCTATTCAAATGTTTTGATTGATTGTTTGATTGAGAGTGAATGAGGAGAGGGAACATCATTCATGAGGACCAAGGACTGTATATAAATATGGATTATATGACTGCTCCCCAACAGTAATCAAAAAGTGTCTCCACCTGATGGCTGGCTGCAGTATGCATCATAAATCCAGTTTTCTCCATTTTAAAGAAAGATGTATGAACCAAACTAAAAAGTCAACGTACACAGCAAGTAACATTTTCTCAAAGACTCACATTCGATCAAGTTTAAAGTTTTAATTAGCTATTTGATGCTGTAAAGCTGGGGGAAACTAAATTGATTGACAACTGAAACAGACTCACGATTGGTTGAGTGCGTGTATCAGTGAAACCTCGCTATTGCGGCTCCATCCCATGACTGCTACTTTGCAGACTTTAAATGTGCAAGATGGTAGCATTCGTATCTGTGATATTTTCGCTTCAATTCTGGACTGTGGGAGGAAGTTGAGATGCATCATCCATACTGTATATACAGTCTATGGTGAGGCAGTGAGTCAGAGAAACTAATGTTACATTCTAAAACGCAAATAAACAAACACACAAAATGTATTTAAAAACTTTAACATCTCTTCATGTCTGGGATTGAAGCCGGAATACCAAGGTGTTTCCCAAGGTGGCACAGGTCTGAGAGGTCAACAGGCTCATATGCAGACTTAATGGTGTGTGGACCTTTAGATATAAATAGGTAGGCTGACTGGTGAAGTGACTGGTTAGTCTACTTCCTAATGCTGTTGTGACAGAATATTTTAATCGTTTTTTTTAAACGTTGTGTTAAAATTGTTGTAATCTGTAAACATGACATGCAGTCATGATCAGACTACACCATCATCACTCTCATTATAGTGCACATGGACGCACACCCAGAACCGACAGTTACCCCCCAGATTGCCCCTGACAGCAGGCATTTATATCAAACATTCAGCTGAACAGAGATAACCCGGTGTAATCAGGATACGCAACCATATGGAGCTGGAGTGTTTTCCGCAGCTGTGGAAAGCTGGGATGCTGTTGCTCCCAATGACTGTATAAAAATATATAAAACTGATTATCATGTTGTGGTTGTCAATTGATACAAAATATATTTTACGTTCCATTTAAAATGCTCTATGTGCTTGGTCTGTTTTCAAATAGCAAACCTAATATTCCAGTATCTGTAATTCATTTCTACCTTAGGTATCCAGCATCTGTGCAGAACTAGTTTATTGTAGTTTGAGGTGGGATTTAGAATTACATCTGTTGTATTTTAACAAAGTCTGGGATTGTGACAGATGGTGTTTGGAGAAATTGACTTGCTGTGATGTTTTAATTGCATTGCTGTTTAATCTGTTTTATCAACTTTGTTTCTGAGCTCAGAGTCTATTTTAAATTCCAAGATTTCGTTGTTGTTCATGGTGAAACTTTTTTGTGGTTTATAAAGTAAACTTAAAAATCATCAACAAAGTCTTTACACTTTTTTACTTCAAGGAAAACCCCACAAAACCCACGTTTGTGTGTGCTTGTTCAGGTTAAGTACACAAGGTCCAGGGATACAGTGGATAGCTTCAAAGGGGACCAACAGGCCATGAACAATGGTGTCACCACTGAGTGGAAGAAAGCCATGGTGGAGTGGGTACAGTGTGAGGAGAACTTCAGTATTTACAACATTGATTAGAATAAACAATTTGTAACATAATGGAAAGCAAATGAATTAATTATTGTCAATAATGGCAGCTATCTATAATGGAGTATCTGAGTAGGTATATTGTTTATCAAGCAGTCTTGTTGTAATCATAGTCCACGATCGGCCGCCATCTCGATCATTGTTAGCACCACTATCTACAATCAGATGCCAATACGATCACCATCAGCCAGCACGATACTGGATCCCCCATTTTGATCATTTAGTTTAAATAAATCAAATCTCACAAACACATTTCCAATCAAACCAGTGAAGACAGGGGCAGCCATGATCTAACATGCTGATATCGAGAAATGATATCCATTTCCCTGACAAATCTCTGTCTAGTTGTCTGTTTATTTATTAATTTCTGTGTACTTGCGTGTTTCACTTTGTTTTCTGTCACTATGTGTTTTATGTATTTATAAGCTTGTGCATTTCTACAGCATCTGTGACTCACAGGCAAACAAGACAGCAGGTGGTGTGTGATGTAATATGGGGCACATATAAGTCTGATGTCTGTCTGCAGGATCTACCTGAGGAGGAAACAAAACTGGGGAACAGGAGGCAACTCACTTGCAAACTGGACCTCATGGGTTTAGTGTTTCGAGATGTCGAACTATGCATGCTGAAACTTCTCTCTGGGTTTTAAAGAGTGCACCAGTTGAAACATTTTCTTCATGGCATGTCTTTGAGAAACTGAAGCTGGAAATATTTTTATGACCATTTTTGTTGATACTAAGTGAATTCTTTGGGCTTTGAAGAACACAATAGTCGTGCACCTCCGGATTGGTAAGCAGAGGATGTCATCATCAAGGTCCAAGCTGCCACTACTCCTGTTTGGGCTCCTCCTGTGCAGCTCCTTTGCTCCTCTCCCAGTTATCAGCGGCAAGAGACAAACCATACAGAGTGCTGTGTCATTGGTTCAGTCTAGCAGCCGCTCCTTGGACAAGAGGGAGGTGACAGCCAGAGATGGAGAATACCTGCTGGGCATAAAAAGACAGAGAAAGCTTTACTGTAATGTTGGCATCGGCTTCCACATCCAAGTCTTACCAAACGGGAAGATCACAGGCGTGCATAATGAAAACAGATACAGTAAGTCATTGTCATTACCTGTTGAAGTCTATGTAAAGTATGCAAATAACTGTGGAACTAGTCATAATCAGCTTGTGCATACATTTACAAAGTTATAAAAAAAAGCAAAACTCAAGACTTTTTATTTAAATGAAGATGTATCTCCACTTTTAATTAATAAGGAATTCATTATCAGCATTATGCCTACAAATGCTAATGCAGTGTCAGTTCTACTCATGCCAAACATCTGGAATGCTTTCAAAGATCTCTGTTCCCTTTCCATAATGTGAATAATAAATGTGTATCTATATTTTAAGGATGATGCTTCTTTGATAAACTTTACTTCAGAATTATTCTTTGTCATTAGTGAGTCCTACTCAAACAGGTCTACATGGCACAATGTCACTTTTATATTGCTTGAATGTTGGACGTTGTGTGCAAAGGTTTTTATATACAGTCTGTGGTGCAAGGTGAAGTTAGAAAACTTTGCATTCATCCAACATGGTTTATCTGCAGTGAAGCTGTTCTCCATCCATGATCGACCATATTCTGTTAAATGAAAATGAAGTTTCTCTTCACTAATTACGGTTGACATGTGTGGCTGATTGACTTGGTTGGTGCGATATGCCCTACTGAAGGCTGTAGCGTGTGAACTCAAAAAGCAGCCATGATTTCTATGAAATTTAAGTTTAGAAAACATTAATAATTACTTACTGTACTTATATCTATACATACAATAAAAGTGAATTGATGTTATCATTCATATAGTTTTATTTGCCCCCACCACCACCTTGATGTCACCAATACAATGGCCATTGTCAATGCTTGATTATTCACACACCCATTATCAATTTTATTAGTTGTAGTTGTGTTCCTTATACTTATGCCAGCCTTTGTGTCTCTTTATGGTTTTTAGCAGAGAGTGATCTAGTGTTCATATTCACATTAATATTCTAAGTGATACGGTACTGAGTGGCATTCTGACTGTGGTGTACTGAAAAGTAAAAAAATTAACCAGCAGACAGTCATTTATTGTAAACAAGTTAACCAAGTTTTAGTTTTAAATAATGCAACATAGATGACAATAGTTGTGCATAAGGTTCAGAAAACTTATAAAAATGTTTTTAGAAATTTGAAATGTATTCTTCTTCTTTTCCTTTTATCTGCACCAAAGGCATATGTCCTTTTTTATGACATTGCTTAAATATTATGCTGGTGCCTTTTCCTTTGACTAACGGATTAAACCAGTAGTATTAATTTGCCATTCATTTAAAGTGAGATTGCATTTTTGTATGATTGCCACCACTGAATAAATAATATCCTATAATATTATATAATTTTTTTTAAATCTATCTTTCTCATTGGGCATTGGGGGCCCTCTAGTGGCCATGGGGGCCCAACGCACCTGCTTAGTTTGCTTATGCATCAGGCTGGCTCTGAAAATTATTTTTAAGTTCACTGCATGTTGTAAGTTCATGTCTTTATTTAGTAATTTATATTTGATCCAGTTGGTTTAGTTTTCCAATTGTTAATTGGGGAGTGCACTAAAAAATCTTGTATGGCATAGGTATGTCCTATCATCATCACCTACTTGGGCTGTTTCTACCTATACTTGAAAATGGTTAGGACGTAGATGTGACTGCGTCTGATATCGGCTTGTTGTCAGTTATCAATCAATCAATCATATTGTATTTGTATAGCCATATTCACTAATCACAATTTTTCTCATAGAGCCTAAGAGTCAACAAGAGTGAGGAAAACTACCAAGAAAAAACTTTTAACAGGAGAAAAAGGATGTAGAACTTCAGTGAGCATTGTGAGGGATCCCTCTCCCAGGACGGACACAAGTGCAATAGAGAACATCAGCAAAATAACAGTATTTACAGCATTGATTAGAAGAAACACTTTGTAACATAATTGAAAAGTGTGTCAAAGTGTTTGTACATAAGAAAATGTCTGATAGAGGTGAAGGGAGCAGCAATGACAAATGAATTGTCAGTAATGGTAGTTTTCTTGTGCCACATCAGTAATCTGCTAAATGAAAGTTCTTCATCACAAACTGGTACAGTTTGGATACAGTTACACTGTGTTTGGTTCTGGCAACTCCACAGCATCAACCTGGCTGCATTTCTTTCTGACTAAGGTTGCAACTTTTTAACCAGTTGCTCACTCAATATAAATATTTGGGCACCAAACTCAGCTGAAGAGCATTACTTGTATCAAAGAGCATTTTGTCCTTATTTGTCCATATTTTTGTAATTTCAAATTGTCTCATGGGCCACACACAGCCTGCCAAACATTTTCCATCCCTGCTTTTAAGAGTAAAACTTAGGCTCCAAGCATCTCTGCTGAGACTCTGATTATACGTTGTTTGGGTGCTTTCCCACTTTTCCTGTTCAAATAATTACAGCACGTATATAATAAGTATTTGCTTTCCATTTATTTTAGCTTTCTCTTTTTGATGAACGCTATATGTTACTTATCATGGTTATGTTTCATCCCAGCCCTTCTAGAAATTTCCACTGTGGAGAGAGGAGTGGTGACCATGTTTGGAATGAGGAGTGGTTTCTTCGTTGCCATGAGCGACAAAGGCAAACTCTATGGCTCGGTAAGAACTGATCAGCAATTGCTAAGTTGATGACAAGCTGTGTGAAGTGAACTAAGAAGCATTTTTGGACAATTTTAACCAGTGCATTGACTCTGTCAGATGAGGAACCCTATCTGCACACTTTGTATTGTAGCACAGATGAGCTTCAATTTAACAAAACTGAGAGGCTCAGGAGATGGAGCGAGTCATCCGCTGAACAGAAGGTCAGTGGTTTGATTCATGTCTCCTCTATTCCGCAAGTGTTCTTGGGCAAGCAAGTGTAAAACATTGTGAGTGGCCACCAATAGCCATTGGTGATGAATGTTCACTGAGGTTTGGAATGTATATATCATTATCACTCATTTAAGGGTTTCTCAAAATGCTAAAAACTATTCTTTAAAATCACTTTAATATCTAAGTTTAAGATTCAGACTTAAAATATCCAAAGAGAAGTTAATAATAATCATATTACATTTCAATAAATAAATAAACGTATATGCGTATTAGAACAATTGAAAGTTTTATATATATATATATATATATATATATATGAGGCTTTTGAACAAACACCATGCCAAAACCATCGTCTTTCACAACAAAAGATTTTAAGTATACTTGACCACTGACTCACATGGCCATTAAATCAGGAGCTTCTTATCCCTTCAGATAGCAATCCATTTAAACACTGAATCAGCAGGTGTACCAGGAGTCTTCTCTATATCCCAATGCTCATTCTATGCAGATGACACCCAGCTGTATTTATCTATGAAGCCTGAACTTTTCACTACTAAATAAAGAAAAAACTGAAGTTGTTGCACTTGACCCTAAACACCTCAGAGAAATGTTGTCGGACTAGATAGTTACCTTGGATGGCATTAGTTTGGCCCTGACCTCTACTGTAAGGAACCTAAGAGTTCATTTTTGACAATGACATGTAATTTGAGTTGTACATAACACAATTCTGTAGGACAGCCTAATGTAATTCTTTTTTTCACAACATGTCCCAGGTATCTGTGAAAAAACTCCAGTTGATCCATAATGCTGCAGCATGAGTACTGACAGAAAGTAATTGTGAGGAAAACACTACCACCACCAGGGATTGGGTTGCCACCTTAGGCCCACAGCACCTGTCCAACAAGGAGAGAGAGAGAGTTAAAAAGTGTGAGACATAAGTGGTGCTGACAAAAATCTATATTGAAAATGAAATAACAAAAGAAAACAAATTCAGGAATATGCCAAATAACACAAGTAAATAACAACACAAAACGCTTACTTAATTAATAACACAAATCAAAGAAAGATCATTTTAATTAATTTCAACATTCACACAAAAAATAAATTGAAGGTGAATTAATAAAGCTAACGATTGATATAGTGCATGTCCTTTGAAAGGTTGGTCCAACGGATATCCAAAAAGAGCCAGAGAGAGCCAAAGAGCCAGAATAGCAGAGGAATCCAGGGAGTGGTGGCCAATGAGGGTCCAAATAATAAACCGGGGCCTCTAGAAAAAGGCACATAACAGGTTTTGTCAAATGGAATAAATTGTTTATGTTTTTAGAGCCAAACCACACAGCCTCACAGGCTGCAGCTTGATCACACTGCAGCAATAAAATGCACGACAATAATAAGCTGTGAACCAAGCAACAGACCATAAAGACGAGCAGATAAGGTTGGGCAAGATGTTCTGCAGGCTAGGATAAATATAAATAATTTGTAGTCTACATTGATAACAATGGGTGTTTATCTTTTTCTTCCTTAGAAATAATTGAAATAATTGCCTCCCTCTAAGAGGGTGGAATTTCTGCAATCACCAGCACTTTTAAAGTGACAACGGTTTTCTTTTCTGTGTCCTCTGGTGGAGGGTTCATTACTTCATGTTGCAGCTGACCATCAGAAGCACAAGCCTGAAGAAATCTTTTTTATGGGAAAGACTTCATTTGATCCTGACAATCAGCTACAAATATACACTTCATATTTCCTCCATCTCCTGGGTGACTTACATCTTCACCCCATCATACAGTCTCCCAGTTTGACTTCTGTATTCCTCGAAGTTGCAGTTCTTAGAAAAAAGAGAGGGTCCCAGCACTTACTTGGGATTTTTTGCATTATCCTCAGTTGACTCCATGCAGTCCTGCACAAGAAAATACACTGGAATTCCACTCGAAATCTCAACTATATTATTAAAATCAGGCTTCTTAGGCAATCCCTCTTGAAAACACTCCTCTCTACAAGTGTCAAGTTTTGAGTTTTTATTTGTCATTTGTAACTTAAAACAGGGTCAACTGTACAATGAAAAGAGCGGGACAAGAAGGACAGGTCAGCTCAGCAGTGAAATAATA